CCCCAAAACCCCAAAACCCCAAAACCCCAAAACCCCTGTATTGGGATATATGGTTGAGGAAAGTAAATAATTAATCAATTAATATGGCAAGTGTTGAGTTTTGGACACAAGAAGAAGCGAGATGTGACTTTGATGATCAGTTTGATGAAGAGTCTTCACTCAGTTCGCCAAGTACCAAGATGGCAGTTTGTCAGCCTTCGTGAGTTCGTCATCAGAGCAAATTACACTCTGATCAAAAGCTGGAAGTGCTCTCGATGAGAGCATGTGAAAGTGGAAAGAAGAGACTGGGGCTTCAGATTAAGAAGACTCAGAGTGTGATTGACAAGTCTGCACCTTATTCACCAGTTCATGGTAAGGATGTTAACAGGTTTTGGTATTCTGGGAGCTTAATATCATTTGAATCTTCATTTTCCTTATTTTGAGAAATGGATATCCATTTCTTTACAAAAGCTTTTTGTTATTATTAACTGTAATAGAGCCTGCTTTACCTTTGCTTCGCTATATCAGAATTATTCTGAGATTTATTCAAGAAGAATCTCAAAATTAATTTTGATAAAATAATTTTCCCAACTCACCATGAACTTAGTTGTTTGGATAGTTTCGATTTACATAATGTCTATCTACCTTCCAATATCTTTAAACTCACTAGCTATTATAGATCCTAAAAAGTACAAGCACATGAGTCCCAAAGCTTTATGAGGCAACCAAGAAGAGGTATCAACAGTAGAGGCAAGATACCAGAGTCCTGAGAAAGGATTCAATATTTGTGTGAAAGCAACTACAAAGTAAGTCTTTGCTAAATTCTTCCAACACGAATGTAATTCTCAATTCTTAGTTGAAACTGGTTTCCTAATTCATTTCATTCGGAATTGATAAAATACCAATTCTGAGACTCCAATTTTCTTCTGACTAAAGTACTCTCAAGGAGAAGACCAAACAAAGATTTTGGCTCATTGTTCGAAGAGTGATAATATCTAGCAAAAGTTTGTGCCAAAATGCCACAATTTAGCTAACTTCTTGGTCCATTTTATGTTTTATTTATAATATCTAAGTTTGGTCTAGAAAAGATTCACAGGAATGTGTAGGCTTGGATAAACAAAGGAATAAAGATAAAAACAATTTCATAAATTTCTTCCCGAAACATAAGAACACTCTCTGTAAAATTAGTAAAGAAGAAATTAAACAGACAGGAAGGCAGGATTATGAGAAAGAGAAAAGAAAGAATTCAGGGCAGTCAATTAAGGAACTTCTGGGTACTCTTGTCAAACGAAGAAGGATAAGTTCCATTGGAGGATTTGCAGCAAATATAAACAGAAGTAACTCGGTTTTACACAGACAAAAGAGGTGTTCAGATGATGGGTATTCACTGAATCCTTTCCAAACTCGTCTGAGCCCTGTCAAGATGAAGGATAGGTCAGCCACATTGAAGCAGGAATGAGTACTTGTAACAATGAACGACATTGAGGCGATAGAGTAAACTTAAGAGTCGATTCAACAAGTGTGTACTTGGATGCTAATTAACTTTGTCATTATTAAAATCTCTTCTATTAATACTTTCTTGGGTATGCTGTCAATTTCCATAGTAATGACTAAATATCTTGATCTCTTGATTTCCTCATGTGATATCTCCAAATGCAAGCATGTATAATATAATCGAAGATAGTACATATTTTGATTCATGAATTTCCCAATTATTTCCAACTAATTTTATTTTTGTCTACCATATTTTTCAACGAAATATTTGAGAGCTCTTTCTAAATAGCATTCCTTCTAAACAGCCTTACCTTGGAAAGATAAGATTATAAATTTCCTAAAAAGGCAGTATGTGAGGTATGTCTGATTTAATATATTATAATCATGGGCCTTATCTTGTCCATCGACAACACAACATCAAGCTATTGTAATCAAAATTAGGTCGAAGTATAACCTCTCCAAATATTTCTCTGAATACTACTCTGCCTTGTTGAGAAATCTTTTCGAATATGTGTAGGAAAGTTAAGCTGCCTGACTATTGGAACTAAGTGGATACACAGGTATTATAACCAGCTGTTAGGTTAGACCAAACTTTATATAAACTTATTGCTCTATAAGACTGTGGCAATGGCTAAATCATTGCTTAAATGCAGTATACTTATCACCCATCTTAGCTTAAGTAAAAATATTTAATTCGCTCTTTTCTTCTTAAAGGCTACAATCCCAGATACGAGGTAAGATAATGATAGAAGCTAATCCTTGTTCGATAGGAGCTTTAAGTATAAATACTACAATAGTAATCCCTCTTGGCTTTATTTTAGCATTAGTAATACTCTTTTCTGTAAGTATTTACTTGCTTACGAGCATCGTAGTTGATATTTCTCAAAATAAAATATGGATATTCATGTAGTTATTAAAAATATCTATTTTAACAGAGGAAGATGAAAGAGATCCAGGATCAGTTCTTGAAGTATACCTTTAAAATTAGAGTATTTTATTTTTAAACTTTCTCGTTTTGTTCCCTCCAAAATTTCTTTTTGGTATTAGGATTCGTCCATTTTTTATTTCTAAAAATTTTGAGAAATTTAGTTGCTAATTTCATCATCACCGATCTCTGTTTTAAAAGTTACTTTAGAAGTCTACAGAATTTTTAGAAAGTGACTGAGACCCATAGAAGTTTGATAACTCCCCTATTTTATTTACTCAAAATATAGACTTGATGGCTACGTTCAATGCTGAGCATATTTAAGGGGTTTTGGGGTTTTGGGGTTTTGGGGTTTTGGGG